TTTTAAGCTAATCCCCTTCAGGAGGCTCTGCTGTAACAGTCCCAACGCTCTCCTGTGGCCTACTGACCAACACACACAGACACACATGCACGCACGCGCAGGTGTGCTAATACCAAACACGCACCACTCAGGTATGCTTAAAGATCGACACGTGTTATAATTCCCTCGAAGCACAGGCAGACACAAGTGGTTTTCTGTCACTGGTTTATTTGAAGACTTCGCTCCAAAGCCACCGTGAAAACTATACAGCATTAACAAAATAAAACTCAGCGTAAGGCACAGCAGTAAAAACACTACAACAAACACGATAAATAAATAAATACGTCGTTGGCTGCAAAAGGGGAATTAGCCGCCGTTCTTCTGAGGTTTCCTTTAACGTTTAACCGTGTGTAGTTAAAGTCCACTTAACACGTCTTTCAATAAAAACCATCCTTTCTGCGCGCTTACAGGTGTTTTTCTTCTTTCTACCCAAAGAGGAAACTAGCGCAACTTGTAAGCGAACTTGACTTTCAAAATAAAAGCACCAAACCTTTGACTACAAAAAACAAACAAAATAATGTACAGCTTAAACAATTTACAATCATGACATGGATCTTGACAAGATAAAGAAATAATACAAATTATATACAATGTCATCATGTCAACAGCTACATGTGTGTTTTGGGAGGTTTGCTGAATTTGAATAAACCTGAAGATTATCTTGTGTGTGTGTGTGTGTGTGTGTGTGTGTGTTTATATGTGGGTGGGATGTTACCTGTGTTGGCTGTACCTGTATGTGTACCATGTGTTAGTAATTGTATATAACATTGCGTTATAATAAGAAATAAACACATTTTTTTACATTTCAAGGGAAGATTTAAAACCAAACATACGATTTTCTCTGGCTGATTTGACCCGTCTGCATTGATTTGGTGTGAGGTGCTCAGTGTTGGAGACGCTCACTTTCTCCTGACTGCAGAGGAAACGGCGCCCTGTGGCACCCAAAGCATGTCTTTTTTCAAAATGAACTATTTTTTCTTCAGAACTCCACCTGACAGTCGGATGACTGCAGAAGGAAGTGGTGAGAGGTTAGTGTTAGTT